ATTTGGTTTTAATTCGGCTTTTATCGGGGTTTATTTTCTGTATTTTTGTATTTTGTAATTTTTTGTATTTTGTGTTTATTATTTGTTTTTAATATGCTGTGAACCGCCCTGAGTCCTATGGGAGAAGGGCGGTATACAAATTAAAATAATAATAATAATAATAATAATAATAATAATAATAATAATAATAATAATAATATTTGGTATTTCAATCTACAAAGCAAAGTTAGCTTCTCAAGCAGAAGATGAGCTGCTATAAAAAGTAATACAGAAATATGAGATGTGAATCCTGTGCTCCTAAAGAAAGATGCATTTTAAAAGCCAATATTTCCACATATCTAAAAATGGTCTTTTGAGAATTGTGAATAAAAGACCCATATTTGAAAAGTTAAAAGAACGATTTCAACGAAAAGACAATGCCAAAATACATTTTTATATTCATTTTTCCTTTGAAACATTGGCCTGAATTACTCAAAAAATTAACATCAGCATTCTAAACTATATTGAAGATATAAAGATATTTCAAGGTTGGAATGCTGCATCCAATTCTGGTTACCATGATACAAAAAATATGCTGAGACTTAGAAGGAATGCAAAGGAGAGCAACAAAGATGATAAGGCATCTGGAGGCAAAAATTGCATGATGAACGATTAACAGGTGACTCGATTGAGTCATCCAGTACTTGAGGGGCAGACACAGAGGACTTATTATCAAAGCACCAGAGAGTACAACAAGAAGCAATGAGTGGAAGCTTGTTAAAGAGAGATCTTACCTAGAATTAAGGAGAAATTTCCTGACAATAAGACTGAACCAACCAAGCAAGCAATGAAACACTTGCTTCTCAGAGTAGTGGGTGCTCCATTGCTGGAGGTTTCCAAGAAAAGATTGGATATTCATTTGTTTGGGATAGTATAAGGACTCCTGCCTTGGGGAGTGGATTGAACTAGAAGATCTTCAAGGCCTCTTCCAGCCTTGAAGATCTAGTTTCTAAGATATATTACCTCAGTAATGAGAATGTTATATTTGCTAATGATAAAAAAATGCATAGAACTAACAGGAGACCAATTTAAAGAAAAATTCAAATAAAGTGGATGGTTATATATCAGAACAAAATCTAAGTAAGGTGCAGGACATTTTAAAAGCATATTATTTTATGTGCCAAGAATCTAAACTGTTAAAACAAATAAATCATCTTAATTCCTAGAAGTAATAAAAACTAATAAAAAAAAAAGACTAGGATAGCAAATGGTCTGGTTAATCAGTCATTGATGGCTGAAGTGAAACCTATGGTGAGCAAAAGCCTTGAGGTAAATTCTCTTTCTAAATATTAAAGAATCTTATGGGAAATATATATATGCATGTCAGATATAACACCAAGTACTTTCCTTTTAGTAAGTGTAGAAATACATTTTAATTCCACCAACATTAAATATGTTATAGTGCCATAATAAAGTTCTAAATTACATTTTTTTCTGTTAAAAAATCTCTTTAAATAAAGTATAATTTCTTCTGCACCGATTTCTTTGCATTATTATTTTGTTCTCTTTTAGGCAATTGTCTTGCTGACAAATAGACAAAGTCCAGAACCTTTTACATGCTCCAAGGAGAGTCTGTTACATACTTACCTGCTATCAATGATTCAGAGAATCATAAATACCTTTCAAGAGGAGACATCTGAGATGCTGCAACTAATTCAAAAAACAATAACTTCAAACCACAAAGAAATCCAAAATAACTTTGAAAACATAAACCAATTCATCTCCAATTTAACTTTACAACAACAAAAATACCAGGAAATAACAATAGAGAAGGATCAGATAAAACAGATAACTGAACACAATTCGAGGATAGAGACTCAAAGATGGAACTTAACACAACAAAGAAGTATGATTTAACCCAAGTGGGAAAAAAATTACAAGAAACATTGGTTTTGGAAAAGGCAACTTATACTTTAAGGCCACAAGGCAAATTTGAGGATAAGAAAAAGACTGGTCAAAATGGATTGCAGAGACATCAGGAACACCA